ATATATTTTTAATGGAAAAAAAAAAAAATTAGAAATAAAAAGAACTACCTTTATGAAATGAATAGATTAGCAAAATTAAAAGAAGATTTCGAAGAATCAAATGAAAACTTTAGTAATTAATATTAATATTTAGAAACTATATTCGAAACTATCGATATTGAAAAATAAGTAAATAATAATAATAAATCATTTTTTATTTTATTTTATATTTTGAATAAAAAAAACAATTTAAGGAATCTTAAAAATTGAATAAAAAATTAAGAGATGCACTTTTTAAATGCGAAGATTTAATCAATGAAAGAAATTATAAAAGATTTTTTTTTTGAATTTTATATAAAACTTATATAAGAAATATATATTTTATTGCATTTTATTTTAAATTTATTAATTTAATTTTTTCTATATATATAAAAAAAATATATTATTTATTAAATTAATATATGTTTTTTTTTCTTTTTCGTATTAAAAAAATAAATATTCAAAAACCTCTATAAATTAATTATATAGAAATCATTTTTATTTTATTATTTCTTATATATCATTAACTAATTCATCTTTATTTTCATATATTTATATTTTTATTTGTAAAGAAAAATAATAATAAAAAATTATTAATTTATATCTATATCATCAAAATGTTATTCTATCATGCTTTTTTGAATATAATTAAAGTTTAAGAAAAGCATATTTGTGTGAAAATAGATAATAGCTTTAAGCCAATATTGATAGTTATTATCTATTGTTTTCTGATGACATTATATATTATAGTATTGAAAAAAAAAAAAAAAAAAAATTAATATTATATTAAAAATAGAAATTATTAATAATTATAAAAAAGAATAATATTATTATAATTTTTTATTTATATTTATATAAAATAAAATAAATTTAGAATATTTTACATTAAGTATAGTTTTTAAAAATAAATACCTATCTAATTAAATTTAATAGTATTTTTTTTTTTAACAAAAAAAGAGCATTTATTTTTATTTATTAATGTATGTATGCTTTTTAAAAGAAAATTTAAAAGGAAAATTCAATAAAATAATTTTTTAGATCTTAATCTAATTTATAAACAATTAAATTTATATAATAAATTAATTAAAAACTAATTTATTCTTATAAAGCTATCTTTTTTGTTAAAAAAAAAAAGTAAAATATTTTAAAAAGCGAATCTTTTTTTTAATATTTAGTTTTTTTATATTTTAATAAATAATGCGAATTTTTCAAGTATTTTTACATTAAAAGACTTATATTTTTAACCCTTTTTTTTTTTTTATAAACTAAAAAAATAATTAATTTTTTTATAAAAAATAGAATCTTTAAATATCAATAGAAAAATAAAGATATAATGTCTTTGATTAATTGATTTTAAACTATTAAATTTTTATTATTTTATACAATTTTATTATAAAAATAAATTAACTAAAAATATTTCTTATTAAAAGGCAATTAATTAATTAGTCAAACAAATTAATATTGAATTATTTTTCTTTTTTAATTTAATCGTTTCATAATCGTATAAGAAAATGAGAGTTTAAATCTATTTTAATATGGAGAAAAATAATCAAATTTTAAATAAAAACTAATATATATATTTATCTATTTAAACTTGAAGATTTAAAGTTATTTTCAAACAAAAAAATCATTGTTTTATTTTGTATATGTGAATATAAATATAGTTTTAATTTATTTCAAAATATTTTTTATTAATGAATGGGTTTTTTAATTATTAAAATAATTATAAGAATAAAAATAAAAAATACTAATTAATAATAAAAAACAATTTAATAAATACTTTTAATTAAACAAAAAAAATAATAATAATGATAACAATAATAGGTGGAAATGGATATGTAGGACAAAGCATTGCCAAGCACGCATTAAATATGGGTATAAAAGTAAAATCAATAAGCCGTTCTGGAAAACCATCTGAAGATTCCCCAATATTAAACCGAACGAATATTGAACATATAAAAGGCGATGCTTTAAATCCTTCAACTTTTGGCCAAATTTTAAAAGAAAGTTCCAAAATAATCCATTGTGTTGGGATACTAAGAACAAAAAATCCCGAAGAATATAATAAAATGAATAAAGAAAGTCTTATATAAGTCATAAATTACATTAAAGAAAACACTAATGAATAAAAAAACATAAAAAAAAAGTTCATATTAATAAGCTCTAATCATTATCCTCCATTTATAAAAGAATATTTATCTACAAAAGAAGAAGCGGAGAATTATTTGCGTAAATAAGAATATATAGACCATATTATTTTAAAACCAGGATTTATTTATAGTTAAAAATAAAGACTTTGGAGTTTTCCTTTAAAAAAAATTATAGATATTACTTCTTGTTTTTTTGGAAAAAAAGAGGTTCTTAATTTAGCCAAATTCGAAAAATCAATATCTTTAAATGATTTGTGTATGGCTTCTTTATAAGTTTTAGATGATGAATTTTAAAATAAAACCTATTTTAATGAAGAAATAGAGGTTCTAGCGAAATAATTTAAAGAAAAAAATAATATTATTTTTACAGTTTGAATATATTTATTTGTTGTTGTTTTTTCTTTTAGGGAAAACGGGGGGATTATATTATTTTGTACTTGTTTTGTTTATTCGTTTGTTCTTTTTAATGATTTTATTTGATATTATTTATAAAAATATATAGATTAAAGTCAATTTATTAACATTTCGGAAGAAAATATGATAATAAATTTTATTATTTTATTATATGTATTTTATATAAATATATATATATATATATATATATATATATATATATATATATATATATATATATATTCTATATATTTCTATATATTATTTTAATTTTTAATAGAAAAATATCCATATTTTTTTTTTTTCTATTATTATTTTTTATATAATTTTAAAAAAAATCTAACAAATAAATTATATTATAATCATTTTTTTATTAAATGAAGATATTTTATTAAGAAATTTATATTAATAATTATTTCATTTTATAATATTATAAATATAAAACATTTATTTTTATTTCCTTATTATTTATATCAATTAGTTATCTTTTTTATAATAATATTAAACATTTTACTAAATTGTTTATATAATGAATTAACAATTTCATTTTTAAAAAAAATCAAAATATTTATTAAATAAAATGACGTGGAATTTAATAAAAATAAATAGAGTTAATAATAAAATAAACAAATGTACATTATAAATAAAAAAACCAAACAAAAAAATCAAATAAAAATGATAAAAAATATATTAATAATATCTATCTATTAATAAAGAGTATTTTCCTTTTGAGCCATTTATTTTATTAATTTATACCGTTCACATAGTATACCCTGATAGTGATTAGGTTTACTTATAAGAACTGCGTTTAAGATTATAATGAAGGGAATTAAATCTATGAACAGTGAAATTCTAACACTTTGAAATTAGACTTCTCTTTCAAAAATTTCAAAGCTGAAAATTATTTGTAATTATAAAATTTTATATTATAGGAGGCTGGAAAAAAAAAAAAAAACACACACAAACATAAACACAAAAAAAAAGCCCTAAGAGAAAGATATTTTAATAGTTGAACATAAAATTTATAAAAAAATAAAGTCTTAATTAAATTATATATATAGTAACAAAAAGAGGATAAATAAATTATAAATAGATAAATTATTATAAAACCTTTAAAAAGAAGCATTATAAATATATGTTTTTAATAAAATAAAAAAATTTTAAAAAAAAGGAATATCATTGAGTATAAAGTATTTCTTACTTTAAAATAGTAATTATTTTTAACTTAATATATCTAAATTTATTGAACTAACAAATATTATTTATATATAAAAATTAATATGGGCAAATAGGAAAATATAGTTTTAAAGATTCTATCAATAGAGTTTTTTTTTTCTTTGAAAAACTTTAAAAATAATGTATATAAATAACTATTATTATTAAATAAAATAAGGATATGAATATATACATTTTTTAAAAATCTATTATAATTAATAGAGGCAATAATTTATAATTAGTTGTTATAAATATTATATAATATATAAGTTATAATTCTAATTTAATAATATTTATATATAAATTTTATTTACATAATAATAAATGTTAAATATTTTTTTCATAATATAAAAATATATTTAATTTATATTTTATTAAAAAAATTTAAAATAATTATATCCATATATCCTAAATTAAAAAAAAAAAAAATGATAAAATCTATTAAATTCTAATCAAATAAAAATAATTATTTATAAAAAAATATTATATTAGATATAAAAATAATTATTTTTATTTTTTTAATTAATTATTTGTTTGTAATCCAAATAGAAAAAAATTAATATTTGTATAAAATATAAAATATTTATTGAAAACATAACAGTTTGCATAAAAAAATAAGATATAAATTTTATTTTTTGCATTTAATATAGAATTATAGAATAAAAAAAATATAATTAATATATAAAAAATAAAATTAAAATAATTTTTTTATTCTATATGAATATATATTTTAAAAATAATAAAATAAAATATAATATAAATAAAAATAAATATTTTTCTAAAAAATAAATAAATTAATTTTATATAATATCAAAATTTAATTAAATGGGAAAAAAAAAAATATTAAATAATTTTATATTTTTTAATATTATCATTTTTTCTATAAAGCGGAAATAAAAATATGTCCTTTTTTTTGCAGCCTAGAAACATTTTTTGATAATTTGTTATATTGAAAATAATTATGAAAAAAAATATTTAAAATTATAATATAAAAAAAAAAAATATTTTCTAAAAATACTTATAATAATAAATTTAACTTTTTTTTTTTATTTTATGAAATATAATAATTATATATTTTGTTAATTATTCTTATTAAAGCCAAATCAAAAAACCAAAAATAACGAACTTTTTTTTCTCTTAAATTTATATCTATATTTATATTCTTTAATTTTTATTTTATTTTTTTAATAAGGAAAAAAATAAAAAAAATATATATATATTAAAATGTACGATATTGAAGCCCTAAAATAAGAATAAATAAAAGAAAATTCAGTTATTAAGGATTTAAATTAAAATGGAGTCCTTACTATTACATTAAATAGACAATCTCGTTTAAACAGTTTATAAATAGGAATGTATGCATTAATTACTAACTTTTTAGATGAAGCAAATAAAAATCCATAAATAAAAGTAGTAATTTTGAAAGGTAAAAAAAATCAATTAAAATTAAAGATAATATTAAAAAAAAAAAAAGGAAAAGGAAAACACTTTTGTGCAGGAAATGATCTATAAAATTTCGATACAATTACTAATGATAAAGAAGTACATATACATTATTTTTATATTAAATAATATAAATATATAATATATAAATATATAAATATATATATATTTATATATATATATACATATATATAGAATTAGAAAAAAAGTTCCATTTTTATATCATAAAATATATTAATACCGTTTTGCTAAGCGTTTATCAATTTGAATAAACCACTAATTGCAGTAGTTTAAGGCGCATGCATTGGCGTTGCATTTAATCTTTTAGCTTTATGTGATGAAGTATATATAACAAGCGATTCTTTTTTTTAAGCGCCTTTAGTAAAACTTGCTTAAGGTCCAGAAATGTGCTCTTCTTATTTTTTCCCTAAAATTTTTGGATATTAATAAGCTTTTGAAATTATTGTTGGTGCTAAAAAACTTTCTTCGTCTGATTTGGAGAAATTTAAAATGGTAAATGGGGTGTTCAATACTTATTAAGAAGCTTTGGATGTTTCGAATCGTAGAGCAACTTAAATTTGTGATTAAGATTAAGAAAGTGTTATTGAGGCCAAAAAATTAATGAGACTAGATAGAGATATATTAAATAAAACAAATATTGATGAAAATTTAAATTTATAAATTAGATGGTCTAGTGATAAGTTAATACCTACAATAATGAAATTTTATTGTGGTAAATCTAGATTATGATTGAATTTGTGTTTTTTTTTTTTTTTTTTTTTTTTAATAAATATTAAAAATTAATTTATTAAAAAAAAAAAAAAAATCAGTAAAAAAGATTTTTAATTTATTTATAAAATATATTTAAAATTGTTTTGTCTTTAAATAAATTCTATAATTATTAATAATATGGGTTGGAAAATTTCATATTCTTTTTTTTTTGTCAATCGGAGTTTATAATTTATATATTAATTTATAATAAATATTGTGGATGAATTAAAAAAAAGTATATATATACAAAAATTATAATTATATTCAAAATAACAAAAAACTAAGAATAAATATATATTCAAAAATTTTCATAAATAATTAAATGTTTAAAAAAGGAATTTTCATTTAATATTAATAAATAAAGTTTTTTGATCTATTAAATTAGTATTTATAATAATTAATATAAATAATTTATTATTATATTAACAAAAACAATAAATCTTTTATATTAATCATTGTTTAATATAATTTTTTCATTATTAATTGATTTAGAAAATAATTAGATTTTTATATAATAAAAAGTATATTATATTATTATTTTTTTATAGAATATTTATAAACTAATTCCAAAAAAAAATTGTATATTTTTTGGTATTTATATATTTAAAAATTATTAGCACCTTTTTTTTTGTTGTAAAAAAATTAAATAACTTTAATAATTAAAAAGTAAATATTTAATTAAATAAAAAATTTAATGTATCATTTAATACTATGGAATTCAATTTAAAATGCTAAAATAATTTTAATAAAAAAATAATAAAAACTTCTAAAAATAAGTAAAATGAATTTATAATTAACTATAATATTTATTTTTTTACAATTTTATAAAACATTTTAATTAACTTAAAATTAGTAAGAATATGTTAAATAATGTCTAAAAATAGATAATTATGTTGGTAATAATTTATAATTATATAAATCGAAAATAGAATTTGCCATTAACTAAACTTAAGAATATTATGAATTGATAGCCCTTTCTAAATAAGCTAAAATAGTCCATACTTCAATATCTAATGATAATTAGGAAATTTATTCTATAAGCAAAATTAATAACTGTATTTAATTAAGTTTTATCTTGAAAGTAAGTACGAATTTTTTTATAATTGTAGTATTATTATTATGAAAATTTTAATGTTTTACATAGAAAAAAATTAAATTTAAGTAAAAAATTATAATATACATATTAAATAAATAATAATGTTTTTTATTTTATTTTTTTGAATTATATTATTTTTTTCGCCAAAATAATATTTTATAATAAAATAAAAACAAAAATATTTGATATTATTTAATAGAAATAAAAAAAAAATATACTTAAAATTATAATAAGTAGCAAATAATCTAATTGTATATATATAAACAAACATAAATAAATTTTACTACTATTAATATATAATATTTTTATATATTTTACAAATAAACTATTATGTATCTTTTCTAAAACACAAAAAAGCAAAAGAAATAAATTTTATTTTATTTTACATAAATTATAAATAAAAAAAATAAACAAAAAAACTAAAAAAGTTAATATAAGAAAAAAATTATAATTAATATACATTTAGTAAAAATAAAAGTAAATTATAAGAATGAATAAGAATAAAATATCTATAAATTATATATTTATAATAATAAAATAATGCCAAATTAATATAAAAATAATATATTTATATATATATATATATATATATATATTATATATATATATATATATATATATTAATTATATACATATATATAAAAGTATATTATATTTTTTTTTTACTAATGAAAACCCAAAATAAAAATAATAAATTACTTGCAATAGTAACTATTGATTTGGGAGAAAATGAAAATCTGATAATAAAGGTTTTTCAAAACGATGATTTAGTTAAAGTTGCATAAGATTTTTGTAAATTAAATAATTTAAAAGAAGACTGTATTTAATTTATAGTATAAAATATTCAAAAATAAATAAATAAAGCTTAATAAAAGTAGAAGGAATGTCAAAATAATTATTTTTCCAGTTAGCAAAGTAGTCAAAAAGATGATATTTAAAGCTAAACAACAAATTCATCATCTAAATAAAATGACTAAAGACCTTTTTATTATGATAATTATGATATTAATAATTAATAATAAAATAATAAATAAATATCGTTTGTAAAAAAGACTCTATCGAACATAGAAGAAGTATAAAATTCTACAATAAGTGAGAATAGTAATAAATAAAATCATTCAATAATAAACAAATAAAATGTTTCTTATGAAAAAATAAAAAATAAATAAATAAAAAACACATATCATTAATCTACGAAAATTCCTTAAAAATAAATAAATATAAATTTAGAAGATTTTGAAAAATAAATATTAAAACAGAAAAAAGATATATAATAAAAAACAGAAAAGTCTCCTTTTAAAGATATCTCTAAACCTTAAAAATCAAATAATAGTTTAAATTAAAATTTAAAAAATAGTAAAATATATAAAAAACAACAATAAGGTAAAATTAAAAAAATAAAAAATATTTATTATATAACTAAAAAAAAAAGAATTAAAATAAAACCATATATTATATTAAAAATATGATCCAAATATAAATATTTTCATATAATATTTAAAAACGAATGTTTTTGATCAAATGGATACAAATAAAGATGGAATTATTTCTGCTTTTGATATTAATATAGATGAAATATAAATTGATATATTAAATTCTTTACAAAATGTTCTATATGATATGGTTGATTTAGATCTTTGTTTTAATTTCGATTAATTTATAGCATATATCCATTCTAAGCATTTATTTAAAGAGATTTATGAAGTAACAAAAATCAAAAAGAAATTATTTATACAATATTTTGCTTTTTTTTAAAATAAAATAGATATACCAAAATGAAATAAATACATAAAAAATAATATAAGGATAATAAAACTCATCAATGTAATAAAAACAGAAAGACTTAAATGATTTTTCGTTTTAAGATGATATATTATAAAGTAATAATACAACCAGTTAATTTGGTACAAACAATTATAATGACTAAAAAGAAGATGAAGATATTGATGTATAACCCCATTTTGGATTTTAAGAAATAAAAAATAAAAATATTCTTTAAAATAATTTGTCACCAAGATATTAATATTTAATAAAAAAGTCATTTAATAAATGATTTTTTGGTTATTTTTTAATATAAAAAAATTCATATTATAAATATGACATTTATTTTTTTAAAATATTATATAATTATTTAATTTCAATAAAGAATTATTTATTTTCAATATTTAGCCTCTAATTCATATTAAACACTATTATTTTTATTACTTTTAGACTATTATAATTATTCGGTGTATTCTTTATAAAAACTTTCTATTTCAGGGTTTTTTTTTTAGTTTTTTAAGCAAAAATTTGATATAAGATTTCTTAAAAGAGCTTTTTAATCAAAGATTTCTTTATTTTTGCAATGATGAAATATTAAATATTCTATAGATTTATTTAATTTTATATATTCTTCACAGATTTAATCATATAATAAACAATCTTTTAATTTAAATAAAATAATAATATAAATAAAAAAATAAAGTATTTTTTTAATACTATTTAATATAAACATATAATCTAATTCTTCATCTTCAAAAACTGAAAAAAGCCCATTCTAAATATTTTAAAGTGCTTTTTCTAATTAATCAAACATTTAAAATTAATCTTTAAAATTTTAAATGTAATCAACATTATTAAAGTCGGCATAACAAGTTAAAATATGTAAAACACAATTAGTATTTTTCTAAATATTTAGGTCTTCTTATTTAATTAGTAAATGAGAAAGCGAATTAATGAATCTTTTTTTAATTTCTTTTTTTGGATTTTATTTATATTCCATATATTTTTTAAATATAATTTTATTTCCTAAAAGTATATCTAATCCCTTTAATTTTTTTTTTTTTAAAAAAAAAAATGATATCATTATAATTATATAATTTTAATTTAAAATAAAAAACTTCTTATTTAATTCCTAAATATTATATTATTTCAAAAAAAGCACATTATTCTTCTAATTAACTTGAAAAAATACAACTTTATAAAAATAATAGTATCTTATCGATAAAAGGATAAATTTAAAACTGACTTGAATTCGAATACATTTTAACAAAAAGAATAACAAGGTATTTTCTTAAGTAAAAATCTTATTTTTCATCAAAGGCTTCTTAAATAATTTTTTAAAAAATTTAATGTGAAACTAGAAAATTAGAATTATGGCTTCCTTCCCCTAATTTTGAAAATATTTCAACAGCATTATATTTAACTAAAATGTCTTCAGTATTATATAAATTAATAATATTTTCGAAAATTCCTTTTTCAACCATTTTTTAGTGCAAAATATTACTTTTATTAGACATTTCTACACCTAATTCCATAAATCTTAATTATATAACTTCATTTTATTTAAATTCTAAACCTTCATTTGTTTTTTTTAACCAGTAATCATTTTCCATAAATATATTATTATTTGCTTTTTAACAACTTTTTAACATTTTTTATAAACCTCTTAATATTTTTAATCCTACTTCTGATTCTTCATCTGCTAATAGATAAGATAATACATTCATATAAACTTCTTAAGGATTTTTATTAATTATTTAATTTATTTATATAGCTTATAAATCTATACATTCGGCAATAAGTAACCTTACATGTGTCTAAGGATGAGAAATTAAATGTTGCAAAACTTCTTAATCATCTTTATCTTCTGAAAACAAAAATATTAGTATAAATTTTAATCTCGAAGCCAATTTTTTATAACCTATTCTACTTTTTAATATATTATTTAATCTTATGTAGCCAAAAAACCAGCACCTACTATGACCTTGACTCTATATTATGTGACAAATTATTATAAAAAAGGATTTTTATATAAATTCTTTGATAGTTTATCTAAATCCTTTATAAATTCGGCTTACATTTTTAAACGAAAAAATAAAAATATAATAAAAAAATATATATAAATTATTATTTATATAAAAAAAAATAACAATAATGGTTTAGAAATTTAATAATAATAAATTTTTATATGCATATAATAAATATTAAGAAAGAAGTAATAATAAAAAAATTATAGTAAAAAGAGAAATAAAAAATTAAATATATACTTGATATACAAATATTTTCATTAAAAAAATATAAATATAAAAATATAAAAAAATATAAATAAATAAATAAATAAATAAATAATTATATAAAATAAAAAATATTTAGTAAATATATAAATAAAATATATATGCTTTTTATATATATATATATTTTTATTTATATATATATATTTTATTTATTTATAATTAAATAAAAATAATATATATACTTATATTTTTTATTTTAACTTTTAGTGCGTATATTAAATTATTATAATAATATCTATTTTTAATATTTATTATAAAAATTTTTTTATATTTATTAATATTTTACCCAATATATATATATTATATTTATTTTAAATTATTTAAAAATTTATGGATTTTTTAATATTAAAATATATCTTTTTGCTTATATTTTAATAATTTTATTTTTTATTTATGAAATTCAATAATTCTATTATAACTTATTCAAAATAAAAATATTAATTAATAATTTTGCTTATTTTATATAATTGAATTCATATTTTTTTACCAAAATAAAAATATTATATTTTTTAAATTAAAAGTAAAATCTATTTTATATATAAATAATTTTTTTTTAAAATAATTAAAAACAAATAATTAAAACATTCCATTTTTTTATTATCACGGCTTTAAATCAATAAATCAATCAATCAAATTAAAATCCATTTTATTAATAATCATCTTTAACTAAGTAATCTTCTTCCTTTACTAAATAATTTTAGAAAGATTCTTGTTCATCTTCCTCTTCTTCATCGGCTTCTTCTTTAATTTAGAATTTTTCTTAGACATCCTAAGTATTATTTGAACTACTTTTGATATTATAATTGAATTATTTAACATATTTTCTTAACATTCCCATCTTTTCTTCTTTATGTAATTGGAAGTCAAAACCGAGTTTTTCTGCTTTTTTAATTTACGAAAAATAATCATCTAAAGTTTTCCTTGAAAGACCAACCATACTAGCGGCAAGATCTAAATTAAGTTTAAGATTTTCCCCTTTTTGGTTAGTATAACCATTTTAATATAATTTTCTCCATTCATCAACTTTTTCTTTTACATATTAAATTTATCTTTCCTTAACTCTTTTTTCTCTTGGTCTTTATTATTCTTAATTAGTATTGCCTATACTAAAATATAGTACATTAACTTCTTTGAAATTCTATAAATTAATGGAGCGAATTTAAGTTATTTCTAAATATTTATTTACTACAGGATCATATATTTAAATATTCTAGGCTTATTTTATAGGGAGATTATATTGTTATTATATTTATTCAAATAGTTCATTTAATAAAATCAAGTCGTTATTAGTTAAAGGAATAGGAACCTTATTTAAGTTATAGATTGTTTTTTGATTTGTAAAATCAGTTATGCTTAAATCTTTTAAAATGTATCTTTTATCAAATAATTACTTTTCGCATCCTTTATCAATTAAAAATTAATGCTTACTTTTTAAAGATTTGTTTTGAATTATTTTCATAATTTTTTATAAAGTATATATACGTATGTCTTTCTTTCTTTTTTTATTTTATTTATTTAATAAAAAAAAAAAAAAAAAAATTAATATTTTTGATATTAATACATATCAATTATTATAATTTTTGTTCAGTGTATTTATTAAATTATAAATTTTAAAAAAATATTTTATAATATATAAATAATATTTATACATCACATATTAATAATATTTATATTTATATTTAAATTTTTTTTTTTTTTTTCTTTTAAAATATATCTTAATATTTTTTTATTAATAATATCATTTATAAATTTTATTTTTATTTTATATTTGATATAAAATATCAATTTTTATTTAAAAATAAATTATAATAATTACAAATTAACTAATAAAATAAAATATAATTTTAAAATAATACTATATTATAAAAAATATGATTGTTGTGGCATTATTATTCGGAATTATATCAGGTTATTTGATGGAAGAAGTTTCTAATTAATATTTTCCTTACGAAGCTATATTAAAATAATGGATCAATTCATATTTATCGTTTAATCGATTTAATTTAAATTATATAAACAATTTATTTTTTCGGAATATAATATATCTATTTATTAGTAATTTTTTATTAGTAATTATTAATTTTATAGAATTAAATTGGTATACAAAGATACTTATGGCAGACTTTTCTACTTACTTTTGCTTATTTTACTATAATATTTTTTATAATAAGATTTCATTCAAATCGGATATTTATAGAATGATTGGTATCCTTGTGGTTAATGTATTTTTTTCATATACATAGGATGTATTAAATATAAGAAAAATCTACTTAATATTTATAATATGCTTATACCATCTGATAATTTTAGCATTATTAATAAGACAGAATAAAAAATAAATGAATCATAAAATTAGTGGAAATATTTAATAATGTTTATAAGTATAAATAGATAAATCTAGTGATTATTTTATAATTAAATAAAAAATGAGTATATCTTTGATAAAAATTCCAAATATAAATATGTTTACAGATAATGTGGATCGTAAAACCTTAAATAATATTAATTTTGAATCTATTAATTAATTCATATAGAATAATTAAGGGGCTAGAGATAAAATGAATTCAATTGATAATAAAGACAATATATAATTAATTAAATTAAAGTCAAAAGCTTAGAAATTAAATTACGAAGTTATTCAAACTATCCAATTATAATCATCACTATTTAATTTGAGCCATTATTATAAAAAAGAAAGCATATTTACTGTATAGCTTGAAGATTAACTTTATTTTTACTCAACTATTGATTTATAATAATTAAAAATTTTATAACTAGATTTAAATACATGGAGCTATTTATTCCATTAATAGGAACCTTATTGCATATAATATTTGTTTTGTATAGAAAAGCAATAATTTTAATTTACTAAAATAGATTTATTGAAAGAAAGAGATTAAATAAATAATAAAGGTATTATTTATAAGAGTTATACATGTAAAAGTTTAATACCTTCAGAAAATAATTTATTACTTTATAGCAATTTTCATTATGATAATGATAATAAAACTATAGAAAATTTAATAATAAATGATAGTGAAGTTTTAGTTTCGATAAATATAAATGAAGATTATAAAGTAGAGAATTTAAGTATAAAATTATTTTTATAGAGTAACTCAATTATTGAATTATAATAAGTAAATCCTAGATAATTTTTTATTAATGGCATTTAATAAGTTAACAAAGAGATTTTCGATATACCTACTTATTTGGTTTATAAAAAATTTACACTATTTAATGTTGATATTTAAATTCTAAAAATTGAGAATTTGAATAACTATGTATTAATAAATCATGTAAATATGCACAAAAACTCTTATATTTATGGAATATCAAATAATAATTATATTGAATTAGTTAATATTTAAAAAGTTAATAAAATTTGGTATTCATATGGAACTATTTATTTTTTAGACTAATATAATAACCTTGAATATATTTAATAAAACATTAGTTTTTTAGAAGAAACTAGAGATTTAGAATGCAAGACAATGATCATATTTGATTGAAAATAAAATATATATAAAATATATTTTATATTTACTCATGAATAAAATTTTATTTAAATAATTATTCATGAATAAATTTTATTTAATATTATTAATAAGATATATATATATATATATATTCAATTAATTTTTTACTTTTATAAAGGAAGAAAAAAATTACTAAATATTTTTTGATACTAAATTTAATTTTAATAGTTACCTATTAAATATATATTTTTGAATAAAAACAAAATGTCATATATAAATTTTATTTAATAAAAATAAAAATTAAATAAAAATAAATAAAAATAAATAAAAATAAATATAAATATATATATATATATATATATATAATTATTAAAATATAAATATAAAGAAAAGTATATTTATTTATATATATAAATTAATTTTTTTTTTTTAAATAAAAAAAATAATTATATAAATTACTTATTTATTTTTAAAAATATATATATATTTATTTATATATAAATTAATTTTTTTTTTTAAAAAAAAATTCTCATTAGTTTTCATCGTAAACATACATTTTGTATAATTCTTTATATTTTTCATAATGATTATCCATATTTTCCATATCCTCCTCTTCATGAAATTCGTCCAATTCAATATTTATTTCTTATAAAGAAAAAGAAATAGCACAAGACCAGCAATCTAAGTTATCTAAAATTTATTTTTAATAAGATTCAATTTAATGCCATTATTTATTTTCTAAATTCAAATATTCACAAATATGATAATTTCCTCCTATAGTATATAAATTATTACCAAATATAATACACTTATTTCTAAGATCTTTTCCATTATCCATTTTAGAAAAGAGACTAATTTAATCATTTTTAAACGAAAAAACATCACTTGAAAAGCATTCATCGTAACCACCGCCTAAAATAAAAATAAAATCTTCATTATTTGCGTTTTTCCAAGAAACAGCTGCCGCATTAGATAAAGGTTTCTCTAATTAAATAGGTAAAATTTCCCAAAGATCATTTTAGTTATTATATTTTTCAATTATACTTAATCTTTTAATCCCATCAAATCCTCCAAACGTATAAACACAATCTCCTTAAGGATTTACACAAGAAGCAAAAGCACACTTTTAAAAATGCATTTTACTTACTTTTGTCCAAATATCACTATTAAAATCATAAATTTCACAATTATTTAACATTTTACATTCTATTGCATTATAGCCTCCCATTACTAATATTTTATTATCAGCTAATCTTAGAACACTATGTTCTTTTCGTGCATAATGCATAGAATTTAATTTTTTTACCTCTCTTTTATGGACTGAAATTTAATACACTTCATTTGATTTTCCTCCTCCACATATTAATATATTACCATTCTATAGAGTTGTTGAGGCAGAAAAACTCTAACAAATAAAAGAATAGTTTTATTATGCATTATTTATTTGATTTAGATAATGTATTTACCAATTATTTTTCTTGAGATCATATTATAAAACAGTATTATTGTTTCCGAAAAAACAAATTCTTGGATTATTTACTTTTTTTTTTTTTTTATAAATAATAAAAAATATATAATTATTTACTTTTTTATATCAGAACAGTACTTTTTATATTTTCATATATTTGACTATTAAAAATAAGCTCTGGAATATTCAGTTTTTAAGTTACTTTTTGCTATTTTGAGTTTTATTCTTTTACAAATTTTACTAAATCTTCTTCAATTTTCTCTATTTAATTTACAATTAAATCATTTTTAACAACTTTTGTATCTTTAAGTTTTAAGTCCAATTCATTAACTTTTTAAATTTATTATTGTGCATATTCTTATAAACTTGCTTATAATTATATATCAAATTCTACTTAAGTTTTAAACAAATCGAAATTCTATTTATATTCGTGTATAACTAAATCTTTTTGCATTTTTAATTCATTTATTATTTGCTAAAAATGATCTTCTATTTTTTTAACTTAAGTATCTTATATTTAATTATAATAATCAATATTTTTTAAATGAATATCATTTTCTTTTTCAAATATACTTATAAATTCGTTTAATTTTTGGTTTGCTTTGTCTAACCTTTCCCTTAGTAAATACACTGAATGTTATTATTTTACAAACTTATGTCCTGAATGAGAAGCAATGCATTACATACACATGTTTAATTAACAATCTTCACAAAAGAATAGGCAAAACTCGAAATGCTTATCACACATATGGAGTTTTTTTTAAAGCTATGATTATTTTATTGCTAAATCTAATGCTATATAATTTTTGGATAATTAATCAATTTATAAATTCCTTTCAAATTTTCTCCTACAATTAGGGCATTCTAAATAACTTTTTAAACTAAGTATTTATTTCAAACAATATTCACAAAATGTATGTCCACAAGGAAGATTTCTTGGAATTTTTATTATTTCATCATAAAGCTCAGCACACATAGGGCATTCCATTTGTTTAAAAAAAAAAATAAAAAAAAAATCTTTTATAATTTTTTTTTTTTTTTTTTGATATAATATTTTAATTTTTTTTGTAATAAGAATATATTATTTTAAAATTGTATTTATTTATTATTAATTAATATAAATTTTAATATTAAATTTATAAAGAAATTCCTTTTTTTAATAATAAATTAATTCAAAGACCAAGTTAAATAAATAATTTATATTTTTTTTAATAATTATCATAAAATTATTAAAATTATATATATAGAAATTATTATTTTACTTTTAATAAGATAATTAATAATTTTAACTATAAATTTTATAAATATTTTGCTTTTGATTTGTAATTAACTAAATGTGAAAAATTAATGGATAAGAATTTAAAATTACTTAAATATACTATCATTATGACAATTGTATTTTAAATTTACTACTTACTACTTGAAATCAAAGAAAAAATAACTGTTTAATAATTTGAAAATAAATAAAGTCATATGATGTTTATTTTATATTAAATTTTAAATTTTATATTTACAGTATTAACTTTTTATTTAATTATATATTTATTCTTTAAACAAGTAAATAACAAAAAAAGTTTACTTTTATATTTCGATTTTTTGTTTTGTAATAATGCTTTAATATATAAATTATATAAGTTTAATATTATTGAATCAAGAAAAAAAAAAAAAATATATATATATATATATATATATAAACTTTAAAGCGTTATAAGTAGTGTTTTAAATTAACTTTTATTAAAATAAAATTTTAATATAAATATATATATTTTTTTTTTTTTTTTTTAAAAAAAAAAAAATTACAAAATTATTTTAATATCTAAATATATTTTTTAAAATATTATGAAATTTTTTAATCATATATTAAGATATAAAAAAAAATATATATATAATTTTTCAATATATATTTATAGTTTTAAAATCAAATAAATATATTATATTTACACTCTTAAAAAAAAAAAAAAAAAACAAAAAAAAAACAAAAATTTAAAAAAGTTAATTTAATAAATAAAATCATTATAAATATTCAGAAATATCCATAATAATGAGCTTAAGAAACAATGAAGAAGTTATTACAAATGAAAAATATAAAATAAATGAATTGAGTAAATAAAACTAAATAGAATAATTTTAATAATTTTTATTTTTTATTATGTGTTTACAAAATTTATTAATAAAAATATTATAACATGTAGATAATTTGAACAATAATATTTTGAATTAGAATTTTTCTCACTATTAGGAGTATCAAAATAAATATTAATTAGGTAATTAAATGATATTTAATTCAATATTTATTTTAATATTTAATATAGAAACATTTTCATAAAACAATTCATTTAACAAATTAGATGGAGAAATACCAATCAGCCCTTATATATGTAGCCCTTATAATTTACATAATCAAAAATAAAATCAATAATTTGATTAAATTCTTATAAATAAAAGATATCACTCTAATAATATATCACCTTTTTTAGATTAATTAGGATTTAACCCAATCATTTCCCCCCAAATAAATTTAAAATATGATGTAAATATTAATTAATTAAGTTATCTTAACGACATAAAGTTTCATTATTAAGATTTCGATAACAAAAATAATAAAAAAAATGCATTTTCTCCTAGTCCTTTAACAAGATAAAAAAATGATTTTTATACTTAATACTATGCAAATAATAATGAAAATGAAGGATTGTTTGAAAACGCTTGCATAACAGAATATTGGGCAGATGCAAACACTAGTTATTAAAATCTGAACGAAAAATGCCAAAAAAAACATTATGAAGAAGAATAAAAAGAGTAATCTATCTAAAAATAATAAGCATCTGAAATAAATAATACCCCAAGCTAGAAAAACAACACTTGTAATTTTTAAACACCAAAAAAAACTTAAAAAAGATAGAATATTATGAAAGACAATGATTTAATTTTATTAACAAATAATGATTAAATGACTGGAGGGAGAAGTCAAAGAGGGCTTAGAAATTTAAGTTTAAAAGTAAAGGATATAGTATTTGATTTAAAAGAAACTTCATATAAAGAAGTAGCTGAAAAATTAATTAAGGATTTAGATGAAAAAAGATAATCAGGTTAAGAATTTGTAAATATTTTAAAATTTAAATATAAAAATTATACATTTAAATTATATTTTAAATCTAATATAATAATTATATTTAGATATATATATAATATTTATATTTGCATATATATATATATATATATATATTTATATATATATGTATATATATATAATTTTTATATTTATAAAAATATTTTTTATCAATTATCAATTTTATTATTATAATTATTTATAATATAAAATTTAATTTATTATTTTAGGCAAAAGATGAATAAAACGTAAAAAGAAGAGTTTATGATGCTTTAAACGTACTTATAGCTGCAGATGTTTTAAAAAAGGATGGGAAGAAAGTTATTTCTGAGCATTTATTTACTTATAAGAATACTATAAATAATTAAAATATATCAAATTAAAAAAACCCTATATAAGAAAAACAATTCTTATAAGAAGCTTTAGTAAAAAAATAAAATAAATATTTATTAATAATTTTTTAGAAAACAAAAAGAATCAGATTAATTAAAAAATATAATAGTCTTAATGACTTAGTATTAAAATATATATCTTTAAAATCTCTAATAGAAAGAAACAAATAATAATAATAACAATAACAATAATAACAATAATAACAATAATAATAATAATAACAATAATAATAATAACAATAATAATAAAATATAATTAAAACATAAACATAAATATAAACATAAACATAAATAAAATCTTTATTTCCCATTTGTTGCTATATATTCGCCTTAAAATAATGAAAAAGTAATATAACTAATTATATTTTTTTTAATTTGTTAATATAGATAAGCATAAAGAGATATAAAAACGGATCTATATGGGTTGGCTCATTGGTAAAATTAAATCTTTATGGAGATATTGATATTTTAGTAAAATCAAGTATGTTTTCTACAGAAATAAAATAATAAAAATTTTTGATTTAAAATTTAGTAGAATTTATAAGAAGTTTTAATAAAAAAAAAAATTAAATTAATAATTAAAAAAATTAAAAAATGCTTCCAAAATAAGAAGAAGAAATATAAATGGAGGTTACAATTTAAAATAATTAAATAAAAATTTATTCAAATAATAATGATAAAAGTAATAGTTAAAAAGAATACTAAAAAATAAAAACGATAACTATTAATAACATCAAAAAATGAAATTTAATTTATAAAACTCTAATTAAGAAAATAGCAACAATAGTATAGTTGATTGCGATAATTATTTAAACTACTGAATTATATTTTAATAATAGTTTATTTTTAAAAGATACTACTTTTAATAAAATAATATTATTGTAAGTTCGAAATAATAAAGGAAAAAATAAAATCTTAAAATAATAATTATATATTTATATAAATACATTAAAAATAATAATAATAATAATTTTACAAATTAAAAGTATTAATAAAAAAAAGTAATATTTATTTGAATTTTAATTAATATATGTTTAAGAAAAAAAAAAAAAAAGCAAAACAAAACAAAACTAAAATAAATATTTGTTTAATCATTAAAATTTTTATTTTATATTCATTTATTTTATTTATTATTAATTTTAGGTTATTATTAATGTATATTTAAAATTTAATTTTATTACATTTGTAATTTTTAAAATTATTATAATTATTTTATACTTTAAAATTATTATTATTAATTTTATTGAAAATTCTAATTCTATTTATTATTATTATTTTATTAATTTTTACTTACTTTCTTATTGTTTTGACTACTTTATTTATTATTTAATATTTCCTATTTATTAATTTCATTATTTGAATTATTTAAAGATTCCATATCAGCTAAACCTAAATTAACATAATCTTCATGACAATCAAGAAGATAACTCATATCTTTTACAAATATTTAAATATTTGTTTCAGCTTATTAAACACTTTCCTTAAGTTCATAGTTCGTTTTTTCGTTTTCTCTTACCTGTTTAATTAAATTATATTATAATTGAAAAATAAATTACCTTTTATTCTAACATTTTATAAAAAGCCTATTATTATTAAGTTTCTTTTTTAGTTGTTTAAGATAATTATTATTATTAAATACTTTTTTAAGATATATATTAGTTTATTTCTTAAAGTTATTTTTATAGCTATTAAATTTATAATTCTTTAGTTTTAATTTTGTTTTATTATTCTATTTCTTTATTTTTTAAATTAAATATTAATTATTTAGATTTTTCATTTTATTCTTATATTTCATCTAGTTAAAGGTCTTTTTTGTTCAATAAAACTAAATATTCTTTTTTTATTTTATCGTTTTCTGTTTTAATTTAACTTTCACACATTTTCAGTTTATTTAAAAATTTCATTTTTAAAATAAATTATTTGTAATTTTTATTCATTATATTTAAAATTACAGATGCTAAAGTTTATACCTTACTTTCTATATCATTATAAATTATTTAAACCCTTAATTTATTTCTTTAAGAAATGTTATAACTCTTTTCTTATATATCTTTAAAAACTTAAATCTTGTATAATTAATGTCTATTTTTTATCATATTGGTTATTTTTGTTAAAGAAGTTTCTAATTTAATGAACACTAATTAGTATTTAGTCATTATTCCAACTGTTTCGACTTATATTAATTGTTGTCTTTAAACAAAAATTAAAATTAATATATAGTTTATAATTATATTTTTTTATGAAACTTATGATTTTCCTCTTATTTATTTTATATTTTTTGCAGTTTTTTAGTTCTTCTGATAATTATTACTTTTAATCTTCAACAATATTTAAGTTAACATCAACGTCTATTTTTAAGATAAATATTATTTTTAAAATAATTTAAAATACTTTAATTTAAATTAATTTAGTTGTTCATTTATTCTGTAAAATTCAAATTATTATCATATGTATTATCTTAACTAAATTTTGAATTAAAAAATAAAA